TTTTTTTTTTTTTTTTTTTACAGGCCATCTGAGGCAAGGGGAGAGTGAAATGCATGTATTTCTTTCTGGTGAAATGGGTTAAGGGCATGAGTCCTGAGGGTGGTTTAGAACCACTTGGAATGAGCTAGGGATGTGTGGGTGGCTGCTTAGGCCAAGCATTGCACGGTGCTCTGACTGTTAGGTTCAGAGATGATTCTTCAAACGTGTAGTTCAAAAGCTTAGCTTTGTAGGCTCTCTAAAGGCCTGGCCTCTTATTGGGGATTATTCTAACCTGATTCAGTTCAGCTCAGTTCAGTCACTCAGTTGTGTCTGACTCTTTGTCACCCCATGGACTGCAGCACGCCAGGCTTCCCTGTCCATCACCAACTCCTGGAGCTTGCTCAAACTCATGTCCATTGAGTCGGTGATGCCATCCAACCATCTCATCCTCTGTCATCCCCTGCTCCTTCTGCCTTCAATCTTTCCCAGCATCAGGGTCTTTTCCAGTGAGTCATTTTTTCAAATCAGGTGGCCAGAGTATTGGAGCTTTAGCTTTAGCATCTGTCCTTCCAATGAATATTCAGGGTTGATTTCCTTTAGGATTGACTGGTTTGATCTTGCAGTCCAAGGGACTCTCAAGAGTCTTCTCCAACACCACAGTTCAAAAACATCAATTCTTCAGCGCTCAACTTTATGGTCCAACTCTCACATTCATACATGACTTTTGGAAAAACCATAGCTTTGACTAGACGGACCTTTGTTGGCAAAGTAATATCTTTGCTTTTTAATATGCTGTCTAGGTTGGTCATACCTTTTCTTCCAAGGAGCAAGCATCTTTTAATTTCATGGCTGCAGTCACCATCCACAGTGATTTTGGAGCCCCCAAGAATAAAGTCTGTCACTGTTTCCATTGTTTCCTCATCTATTTGCCATGAACTGATAGGATAGGATGCCATGATTTTAGTTTTTTGAATGTTGAGTTTTAAGCCAACTTTTTCACTCTCCTCTTTCACTTCCATCAAAAGGCTCTTTAGTTATTCTTCAATTTCTGCCATAAGGGTGGTGTCATTTGCATATCTGAGGTTATTGATATTTCTCCTGGCAACCTTGATTATAGCTTGTGCTTCATCTAGCCTGGCATTTCACGTGATGTACTCTACATATAAGTTAAATAAGCAGGGTGAAAATATACAGCCTTGACGTACTCCTTTCCCTATTTGGAACCAGTCAGTTGTTACATGTCTGTTTCTAACTGTTGCTTCTTGTCCTGCATACAGATTTCTCAGGAGGCAGGTCAGGTGGTCTGGTATTCCCATCTCTTGAAGAATTTTAAACAGTTTTTTATGATCCATACAGTCAAAGGCTTTGGCGTAGTGAATAAAGCAGAAGTAGATGCTTTTCTGGAATTCTCTAGCTTTTTCTATGATTCAACAGATGTTGACAGTTTGCTCTCTGGTACCTCTGCCTTTTCTAAATCAGCTTGAACACCTGGAAGTTCTTGGTTCACATACTATTGCAGCCTGGCTTGGAGAATTTTGAGCATTACTTTGCTAGCGTGTGAGATGAGTGCAGTTGTGTGGTAGTTTGAGCATTCTTTGGCATTGCCTTTCTTTGGGATTGGAATGAAAACTGACCTTTTCCAGTCCAGTGGCCACTGCTGAGTTTTCCAAATTTGCTGGCATGTTGGGTGCAGCACTTTCACAGCATCCTCTTTTAGGATTTGAAATAGCTCAAGTGGAATTCCATCACCTCCACTAGCTTTGTTCATAGTGCTGCTTGCTAATGCCCACTTGACTTTGCATTCCAGGATGTCTGGCTGTAGGTGAGTGATCACACCATCATGGTTATCTGGGTCATGAAGATCTTTTTTGTATAGTCCTTCTGTGTATTCTTGCTCCCTCTTCTTAATATCTTCTGCTTCTGTTAGGTCCATACCGTTTCTGTCCTTTATTGTGCCCCTCTTTGTATGAAATGTTCCCGTGGCATCTCTAATTTTCTTGAAGCGATCTCTAATCTTCCCCATTCTATTGTTTTCCTCTGTTTCTTTGCATTGATCACTGAGGAAGGCTTTCTTTTCTCTCCTTGCTTTTCATTGGAACTCTACATTTAGATGGGTGTATCTTTCCTTTTCTCCTTTTCCTTTCGCTTCTCTTCTTTTCTCAGCTATTTGTAAGGCCTCCTCAGACAACCATTTTGCCTTTTTGCATTTCTTTTTGTTGGGGATGGTCTTAATCACTGCTTCCTGTACAATGTCACGAACCTCTAACCATAGTCCTTCAGGCACTCTGTCTATCAGATCTAATCCCTTGAATCTGTTTGTCACTTCCACTGTATAATCATTAGGGATTTGATTTAGGTCATACCTGAATGGTCTGATTTTCCCTATACTCTTCATTTGAAGTCTGAATTTTGCAATAAGGAGTTCATGATTTGAGCCACGGTCAGTTCTAGGTCTTGTTTTTACTGACTGTATAGAGCTTCTCCATCTTCCGCTACAAAGAATATCATCAATCTGATTTCAGTATTGACTATCTGGTGATGTCCATATGTAGAGTTGTCTCTTGTGTTGTTGGAAGAGAGTGTTTATGACCAATGTGTTCTCTTGGCAAAACTCTGTTAGCCTTGGCCCTGCTTCATTTTGTACTCCAAGGCCAAACTTGCCTGTTACTCCTTGACTCTGTACTTTTGCCTTCCAGTCCCCTATGATGAAAAGGACATCTTTTTTTGGTGTTAGTTGTAGAAGGTCTTGCATAGTACCATTCAACTTCAGCTTCTTCAGCATTAGTGGTTGGGGCACTTGGATTACTGTGATATTGAATGGGTTGCCTTGGAAATGAACAGATATCAGATCATTCTATCAATTTTGAGATTGCACCCAAGTACTGCATTTCGGACATTTTCGTTGATTATGAGGGCTACTCCATTTCTTCTAAGGGATTCCTGCCCACAGAAGTAGGTATAATGGTCATCTGAATTAAATCTGCCCATTCCAGTCCATTTTAGTTCACTGCTTCCTGAAATATTGATGTTCACTCTTGCCATCTCCTGTTTGACCATTTCCAGTTAACCTTGATTCAGTTTACCTTGAATCAAGGTAAACTTGATTCACAATTGCTATGTATAAAAATCAAAATGGCATAGCTTTTCGACCCATCCAGGCCAGATTTCAGGGCCTTCTCTCCGAGGGTGACCAACTATCCCAGTGTGCCTATGACTTTTGTTGTGTTAGCACTGAAAATGTTGCTTCAAGAAAAAAACCCCTCAGTCTTGGGGAAACTTCTCAGTCTCAGATGGATGCTTGATCAGCCTCACTTACTTCCCTGAGCCCTTTAGCTTGCTGTCCCATGGGAGGAGGGGAAATGCATTCTCACTGCCACCGTGTACAATCTACTCCCTGTGGTGCAGGTGATGGGCAGTGCTTGCAGAGCAGTCCATTCCAGGATGTAATTTCAGGGAGGAGGAATGTTGCTGCCTTCCATGTGTGCCCAGATGGTGCTCTTCTTACTTACCTATTGTTGCATAACAAATGACTGCAAAATTTAGAGGCGTAAAATAATATTTTATTATCCATGTTTCTGGGATTTGAGAAAAGCTCAGCTGACTATTCTGGCTCCCTCACTGCATTAGCAGCTACAGCTGGAATGGCTGGGTACTGGTCAGACACCTCTTGTCTTCATGTCGTCTTAAGGCCTCTCTGTACAGGCTAAATTTCAAGCTCTTCTAGTTGCCTCCAGGCAGGCGGTGCTTACCTGACAGTTTAGGGTGCCAGAGCAAGTGTTCCGGCCAACAAGTAGGAAGCTGCCTCGGATGTCACATCAGGTATTATTGCACAGTATCATTTTCACTATAGCCACAGGATTCAGGTGAGGTGCATAGACTTCTTGATGATTAGAAGGTCTGTTGGGATGGAGCCATTACTGCAACCATCTTTGGAAAATATAATCTGGCAAAATTACCTTAGTGGTTAGAAGATCTGTTGGGATGGAGACATTATTGCACCTATCTTTGGAAAATATAATCTGCCATAGTTACCTTAGCTTCCAAATGCAGTTTTTCATTGGTAAAAGTAGTGAAGTTGTCAAAATATTATTTTTCCTCCTCAATTTTTGTAATGCAATTTTTATTTTGAATGAAAACAAAAAGGTCAGACTGTAAATGTTTCTTGAATTATTCTGAAAACCCTTTACCATGTCCTACTAGAATGAGTAAATATATGTGTGTGTGTGCATGTGTTACATGTATGGATGTGTGTGAATCTCTCGCTCTTTATATATATATATTCCAGAAAAGTCAGCTGACCTGCATAGGTGTGGCAAAAGTTCATTTGCTTCCATAGTAAGCATTTTAGGGTGTGTGTGGGATGTATGGCAGTTTCCATACACACACGCACCCCAGAGGCTAGAAAGGAAAGAGTAATTGTGAGGAGACAGCGACATCCTAAAGGAGCTTAGGATCACTTCAGGTTGAAGAAGGGGTCCACAGCAGGCTAGAACTCGGGAGATGTGGGCGGCTGGAGAGGGAGCTAAGGAACAAGGGCAGTGGCTGTCATTCAGAAGTGAAGGGCAGGTATACGTGTAACATCCCTTTGGTATCACCTTTCAGTTTGAAATGTGGATACTAATGTTGTGATGCAGCTTTCTTAGACTGTCTGACTCCCATTGTGATGCTTAAGATCTGTGAGTCATTCTTTCTGATAGCCTCCAGCTTCTCACTTCAGAGTAATGGAAACTGGAATTTTAAAAAATCGAATGCAATTATTTGGGGAATTTGCTGACAGTGCAGTTTTAGCGAAGTTTCAGGAAAGCATGCTACAAATCTGAATTTTATTAAACTGATATTTTTTGGTTTGATATGTGTTTTATATTGCAGCATTTACTAGTCTTACATGAGTTCTATTGTTTTGTCCTAAACATTATTTTATTGAGGAAAATTTCAAAAATTAAAAAAAATGGGATAGCAGAAAGATTATAATTCTAAGCAAGCATTTATTTAAAAAGATATTTTTTGTGTTTGGATTGTAGGAATACTGTAATACGGTCCAACTAGATTCTGGGATAGATTATCGGAAAAGGGAGCTTCCTGCTGCAGGAAAACTCTACTACCTGTAAGTTTTTTTTTTTAATTTTAATGTTCTTAAGTTTAATATCTAATAATTTATCAGGAAAAGATGAGAACAATAAGCAGGGTAATTATTAGAACATGAAAGGCTAATTCTGAAGCCTGTGATTTTTCAAATACAAAATGTTGTAATGTTAACTTCTTTAAACTGTGTTTTTTGCCATCCACATTTGCATGATTTATAATGTGTGATTGGAGGAAACCCTAATTAGTTTTTTAGGGAGGAGTGATGACAGATGGTTAGAAAGTAATGAGTATCCTCTTATAAGAAACTCTAGTATTAAGAGAATATCTTTATTGTGCTAAAGTAATTAATTATTTGTGGACATCTTCTGACAAATGTGTCATTTCTGTTCCCTGAAAATTGTGTTTTATTTTGTCAGACAATCTGTTTGTATTTATCACTGTTGATTGACTTCCATACGTAGCTATGTAAAATATATATACACAAGTACAACTGGATGTATTTTGTCTTCTAGAAGCTCATTCTCCCAAGTAGGAGCAATTTATAATAATAGATGTAGTCAGCTCGTATAGTTAATGCTAAAAACAAATATAGTTTATTTTAAAATGTCATTTGTGAGAACCTGAAAAGGAAAAAGTTGCTTTACCAATGCAAAGTGTGTTTAGCATGTGCAGCTAATGTTGGACACATAGTGGGTTCTCAGTAAATAGATCTGTTTAAGGGCTAATTGTGATTTAACTCAAAGGCATGTTTCTGCTAATTTAAATTTTGATGACAACGTGCGTATGAGAGGTTCAGAAAAGTTCTCGTCTCTGCCACCTTGTAAGCAGAAGTACTTTACTGTTTTTGAAGTAGAAATTAGCTAGAAAAATCATATAATTAAAATTGCATACTTTACAGTGTACCAAGGGGACTATTTCAGTTTATTATTCAGATTCTGATGATTATTATAGGAGGTTCTTCATCTGCCCTTAAGTACTTTGTCTTTAAAGTACTTTATAATTTTGAAAAATTCTTAGAGCACTTTTTTTTCTTCTTTAACTAGGACTTTTTCCTCTCCATTTCTTTTATCTTTGGACTTTCCTGTCTTTTATTTTTCTGATATTCACAAGATTTCCCTGAAGCTTTGCTACCTATTTCTCGATATGCCAGATGTGTGGTACTTAGATATTAATTTATTACTCTTCCTTTTATTTTTTCAACAAATCCTTGTTCCCTCTTTTCCCACAAAATATATCCTTATGTCAAAGAATTAAAACATTTTCCTAAAAGGAAATCCCCTCACTAAAGATGGTTGTCTAAGTCATGAAATTTGTTTCTTGGTCCTTGAGAGGTCTCTGTGGAATTTACAGGGGGTCAAAAGTCTGCTTTTCTTTCAGCAGAGCCTCTTTTTCTCTGAGCTACTCTGTGTTGCCTCTTCCTCTTCCTGATGAGAGTAATACAATTCTAACACATCGAAATTCAGGTTTGTACTTTAAACATGTACTGGAAGAAGTCAGAATCTAACAACATCCCAGAGTCCAGAAAATGAGAATGTACAAAGGCTACCATGAAACTCTGGAATAGCTTTCTTAAAAATATATAAACTCTTTAATCCTCAAAGAAAGATTTATTTATGAATTTAACATCAAAAGAACTTTACCACAGTCTGATAATCAAGAATAGAGAGCCTGGGGGCATACCTCAGAGGGAAGGCAGATATGTGCACCAGAGAAGAATTAGGAGTTAAAGTCATCCCAGAAGTGGAAGAATAAAGACGCCCAGATGGGATGCTAGGGTTTTCATTTATATTGTTGCACAGGAGCCTTTGGGTAGAACTTCTTTCATGAGAGAGTAAAAGAAAAGTTCCTGGTGCCGTGTTAACATTTCTGATTTAATTAGGTTTCATTTTATCTTGTTCCTGCAGAAAATTTATTAATTTCCCCTCTATGACAGATTTTAATATGCCATGTTATTTATTGCCCTTTTACGACAGGAAACACCACTGCTGAGGGGTCCACAGGATGCTGCCCCTGACCATTTTGCTCTGAGTTCTGTGAAGGGTTATGTTTTCCTGAAGAGAGGGGATCAGATCACCTTAGACTCACCCTCACTCTTTGTCTCTTTTCCTTTTTCATTCAGGATCTAAGTAGTATGGGTTCTTTTTTCCTGACTAAATCTGTTGAAGAAAGGTCCTGTTCAAACACTGTATCTCCACCATGCTCACATGCAAACGCTGTGCCCCCAGCATGGAAGCCATGGCCTCAATGGGATATTTTAAACTGAACCAAAAAGGGTAGAGGCAGGTGTTGGGATTTGATTTTGGATTTGATTTTGCCCTACTTACGAAGTAATAGCTTTGCCTGTTTTGTTTCATGGATGCTGGCAGAAGACACAAGAAACCAGTGTCAGAGACAAAGGATATTATTACTCTAGGCACAGATAGCATGTTGAGTCAGTTCCCTTCTCGCTTCCTAGTCCCACTCGGGAGGGGAAGAGTTTTGCTGAGGGCCCAGATGGATGCCTGCACATGTAGTGAGTTGTGTTATAGGAGAGGGACTCTTGAGTATAGGTAATGAACCACTTCATGGCCAAAAGTAAGCAAGACTACTTTTTGTCTCAAGGGAAATATTGCCTCATCCCTCAAGGCTTCTTGCTACAAACACGCCTTAAGAGATGGTTAAGGCCTTGCATTCTTGACATACTCAGCAAGCTATGTAGGTGAGTGGGAGACTCAGAGAGTACTGTCTGCCCTCACAGGGGATGTTTACCAGACTTTTAACCTTTATTTATTAAATAAATTTTCCCTTTATTTCCCTTGATTCCTATCTGCCAAAGTCATCTACCACTTCAACAAAATTGCTTCTGACTGCTATTCAGTTATTTAATCCCTGAATTGTTTCAAGACCATTTCAGCTCCATGTATTTGGAAACTATGATCATACTGAAATGATGAAAATTTTATGTTACAACTCACCTACCATTGCAGAAGACATAAGAGGCGTGAGTTCGATCCTTGGGTTGAGAAGATCCCCTGGAGGAGGGCATGGTAACCCACTCCAATATTCTTGCCTGGAGAATTCCATGGACAGAGGAGCCTAGTGGACCATGGTCCACAGGGCCACAAAGAGTCAGAAATGACTGAAGTGATTTAGCACAGCACAGCACAGCATATGTGTTACAACTTTTCAGGCACAGACCAAATATTCACATATTTTTACCTGACTAATACAGTACATGTATTCATCCGTCTTTTGAACAGTTTTAAGGAGTTTATTCTTAAATACTTCTACCAATGGAAACTTCATGTCCCAAGTGCTCTTAATTTTCCACTTAGGAAACATCTATTCCAAATAGGAAATTACTTCTAAGAATATATCTTTGAGCATCATTTAAAAAAATGTTTGCTGCTAAAAACACACAGCTTCAAGGTTAGAGCTCTGTTTTAGAAGAAAGGTCTGTGAAAAAAAAGACTGGAACTCATCCATGTTGAAACTTACTCCCTTGCAATTAAAAACTTCTTGTGTTTGCCTCTGATATTCCCTACACATGTTCCCCTGCCCCCCAACTGGGACAACCATTGATGAAAAAAAGCATTTTCTTAGCTCAATTGTCCCATCTTCTCATCCCTAAAACTTCAACGGAGATCTGTCCTCTTCCTGAAAGGTTGCCACCTTCTGGTTCAGCAGAATCTCTAGGGCATCTTGGGGCCTTCTCCCCATCCCCCATCATTACCATTATAGATGTTTCTGTCACAGACATTGAAATCTGCAGTTTCAGTCTTAGTTTGTCTCACCAGATATCAACCCAGTCATTTCCTAGTTCACTTCCCACTGAAGAACCTCTGAAATATCTGCCAACAGTAGCAACTTGAAAATTGCTAAGTAGGCCGCCTCCTGTTTAGACTGTGATTTGTTTCATTTCCATGAACTAGACTTCCAAGGTCCCTGCAGTAGGCTTTGTGCGTAACTTGACTGAGACACTTGATCTCTGGTCACCTACAACAAAGTTTTTATAGACTGATGCTAAACCACGGGCCTGCTGTACTTTCTCTAAATTCGCTCATGTATCTTTTAGCGTATTTAACATTCTAGTTAGTCTTACTTCTGATGCTAGTGGAGCTGTGTTGGTCTTGAAGAGAAGATGCCATATATTTAAAGAATATGAAATTTGTTTAGCACCAAAAGTATAGAAACATATCCATATGGAGACAGGCAGTACAGAAGACAACAAAGCGTATTCTCATTGAAAGTTTGTTTTTCTGGTCCATGAAGCTGATAACATAGCCCCTGATCAGGATGAGGATCCCAGCAGGTTATGTTTATCATTCTTGGTTGAGTGGTTTAGAGAGACTCTGGCTATGTGTCTGCCTGTTCACCAGGTGGTGTTGTGTTTTTAGTCGTTCAGTCATGTCCGACTCTTGTGACACCATAAACTGTAGCCTGCCAGGCTCCTCTATCCATGGATTCTCCAGGTAAGAATACTAGAGTGGGTTGCCATGCCCTCCTCCAGGGGATCTTCCCAACCCAGGGATCGAACTCAGGTCTTCTGCATTGCAGGTGGATTCTTTACCATCTGAGCCACCAGGGAAGCCCGTTCACCAGGTGCAATTACCAGACATAAATCCTAGGACATGCCTGAGTGTTCACTGTCAATCAGTGTGAATCAAAGTTCAATTTCTCGTCCTTCGTTAAGACTAGACTAGGCCTTCCTGGGGCAGAGGACAGAATTTCTGCCTCTGGCAGTTAGAGAAACTGTCTAGTTTAATGAGGTTTAGGCTGTTGATCTGGTCGTTTCTTAAGTCTGGGGAAGGGATAAAGACTGTTGGGGACATTTTTGATGTTTACAGACTAAATTTTATTCTTAGACTTATGGCACAGAACATATAGGTTTATCTACTGAAGTCATCAACATAGTCATAAACTATGTGTCAGTCACTCAGTTGTGTCCAACTCTTTGTGACCCCATGGACTGTGCAGCCCGCCAGGCTCTTCTGTCCATGGGATTTTCCAGGCAAGGATACTGAAGCAGGTTGCCATTTC